ACGTCGTCCAGACCACCTGTAACGTTAAAAATATAATATCTTGTGTTTCTCCTTCTCTCTTATAGATCAACAGGCATGTTTATGGAAGTAAATTTGTCATAACTAAATCTGCTGACTTTGTGACGCAAACACACAACAATATGTTCAACAGTTACAAGTCTAAAATTTGTTTATCCAAATGAAGTGTGACCTAATGCTGGCTATGATACCAAACGCAAGCAAATAAACAGTCTCATATAACACAGTAAACACACACACACTCCATATATTATACTTTCCACACATACTTATGTACATGTATTTGTATTGCATTACACAGTAGCTTAAAATACCGTAATAGGCTATCATGTGTATTAGAATATCACTCGTTTCCTATGTAAAACAATCACTAGCAGTCAGTCGCTCCACACTGTGAGAATTAGATAACAACAAAGACATAACATTAGTTGCTCTACCACCCACCGACCCATTCACTTGTTACTAATACAGAAACATTCAGTGTCTCTTCTCTCTCTCCCTCTCTCTCAATTATATTCTCTTACCTACTGCATACATTGGTCCTTCTAACACACCAACTGCTATACCACGTCTAAGCGTCTTCATTGGTTGTACGTACTCCCACCTACCAACCTGGTACAATAATAAAATATAAGTACAATATCACTCTTGGTATTATTAACATGTACATGTATATGTATTATTAAGAGTACTTTTAAGGAATAAGAAGGAAAAGATCAAAGAAGGGGCACATGTATATATTGTATGATAGAAGAATTAAGGAGAGAGAGAGAGAGAGAGAGAGAGAGAGAGAGAGAGAGAGAGAGAGAGAGAGAGAGAGAGAGAGAGAGAGAGAGAGAGAGAGAGAGAGAGAGAGAGAGAGAGAGAGAGAGAGAGGGAGGGAGGGAGAAACTCACTTTAGGGTCATAGCATTCAACAGTGTTTAGGTGCTGATTCCCGTCATGACCTCCCACGGCATAAAGCTTGCCATTTAAGCAAGCCACGCCCACATGTCTTCTCCTAGACCTACATGTATACATATATAGGGACAGGTAAACAATGGAAAGCAATAATTAATTGAATAAGAGCAGCTGCTGGAGTATAAGGAGTAAACACATAGCTTAGCCTATAAAGGCAGTGTGTTGATAAGAAGCACACCTGTTACTACAACTAATAGCAAGACAACAAGGCAGTTTGGAAAGACATTCACTATCAGTAAACTCTCAGTATATTATTAGTATATCGCTAATTACTATCAGTAAACTCTCGGCATATTATTAGTATATCATTAATTACTATAGTCGGACGGGACTGGTTGGAACAGCTGCCAATAACAGAAACGAGGAGTTTATTATTTATACAACAAACTATAGGCTATCTTTTTAATCAAAAAGTACACAAGTGTTGTACGCATGTACATGTACATGTACATACCTTAGTTCGGGGCCTTCGTACCACTGGTTAGTCCTGAAATTATAACACTCTACACTACAGAAAGGCTCCCCTACAGCACCACGTCCACCAATAGCAAAAAGGACACCAACTGTTGACTTCCGTGGGTGGAACTGGGTACCCTTGATCTGTGAGTAGTCATCGGGAAAGAGATGGTAGTTTTTTGCTTCATCGATGAGATCCCGACAATCAAGACTCCTCTTGATGTAAGGATTTGACTCGACTCGATATTTAAGGAAATTTAGAGGTAGCAAAGGAAGACGGATGTGGTTGAGTAACTGGGAGAGAAAGAAATGATATCAAATGAAAAGGTTATTAAAAACAAACATACCATGGGCTACACTACACAGACATAGAAAAAGAGAGAATTTCTAAATCAAATTACAGGGAAATTAAACCTGCTTAATCATCCAATCCCTTATCACTAGCAGGTGGAATGATAAACAGCAATGAAATGTAAGACAGCTGTAAGCATAGGGAACATGCTATAGTGCAACAGAAAGGATTGGTGAGTAAGTTTTTATTTCAAATGTCACTGCCAATTAGACACAGTAGGTGTTGGCCACATAGCTCAGAGTGATTGCATATTTATTATTTTTATAAAACAAAATATATAGTAGCTGTAGCATATGGAAGAAAGTGAGTTACATTTGCACATGCAGCTATTGCTAATTAAATTTCATTTCAATTAGAAGTTAATGCAACAATTAATTTAAGATAATTCTTCGATGATACTACATGTGTATACATGTACGTGTACATGTACGTTCATTATAAATCTTAGTATAATCTTAAGCACATACTTTGGGTAAGCTGTCTTTACGTGACTCAGGCTCGTAGTTCAACCATAGTTCCAGTGACCTAAATATGTCCTCCTCTGTCCTCACATTCACCTCGTCGCTGTCCAATAACTCTGAAAAAACCTCCGGGGGAAGTTGGAGAAATTCCTCGCTCTTGATAGCGTCCGTGAAATGATTTCTAAAGTGACGCGAGGCAGCATTAACAAGAGCTTCGCTCCCGTACGTACGGCCAAATGCTCTCATGCCAAGACAATTTGAAGGATGGAGGTGGGTTGCAAGGAATTTCGCCGTCGCCTCGAGGACAAAAGGAAAGTCGAAGATAGATGCAGCGGCCATTACTGACTGGACGTTGTTGGAGGTTATTTCAAGCTGTGAGGTGTAGGAGTACTCGACTAGGAGCGATATGGCGTCGGGTTCGACGTCTTTTAGTTCTACACTTGAGCTGCGACTCTCGATCATGTCTCCAGCAAACATTGACCTGAAAAAAAAACATCACAAAAATAATCATAGGCATTTACATGTACATGTACATACAAGTAATTTTATACACAAAATCTACCAAAAAAATGTCACGGTACATAATTGATATGTCTAAGTACATTTCATTAAAAAGCCATTAATACTGCCCTGGGCCTAATAATTGCTGTAGTTGCTGGAATCTCATCAACACTCTTAGCAAATATGGCTGACTTTCTCCTGAACTCTTAGTGTTGATTGGCAACTCAGAGAAGCAGAGGCTGCCTCGGAAGTTTCAAAAGTGCAGCTGTCATAAAATGAATGTGAGAGATGGCACGACTACATGTGCTAACTTGCTGAATGTTAGCATGAAATTGGTATTAAAATCGCCTAGCAGAGTACATGTAGTGAAGGGAAAAGAAGGAGGTGCATAAACTAAGTCTAAAACTAATGCAACTACACACGTCTCGTTACAACATTATAATACGATACCTGAAATAATGACTGCTGGCAGCTAGGACTATCTTGTGGGCCTTAATCTCGACTCCTTGCACGAGAAGTGTGACATCGCAAAGCTTCTCATCGTCCCTTAGTTCTTGCATCGACCTCAGAGTGTCTGACGGGTGCTCCTTTGCTACGAAAAGAAGCTTGTCCGTCGTTCCCAGCTCTCCAGCTAGGGCCAGCTCTCCTTGAGGCGTAGGGCTGGTGCTTAGAAGAGTCAGGCTTGGGTCTAGAAAAAGAGAGAAAGAAAGAGGAGGGGACACAAAAGAGTTGGTGAAGGGGACAGGGAAAGTAGTATTGGTACCATTTTCCTTTTCTTCTGCACCCTCTCCAGGTGAAGCAGGGATGAGAATGGCAGAAGCAGTAGGAGATGAACTCGTGTCCATGTTCTTTCTCTCCTTTTCTCTCCTCAAGTTTGGTTCTCTTCGATCGATGCTAATTTTAATTAACTTGTTAATTAAATTAATTAAGAAATGGGTGTGGTCCGTCAGGATCTGATTGACCACGCCCAACCACACGTGCTTTGTAATGGCCACCAATAATAATCCAGAGACAAGAGAAGATGAACACGTTCACAAGGTCTATTCCTCCATAGCAACGCATTTCAGTGACACAAGATACAACCCCTGGCCTAGAGTGGCAGAATTCCTCTCTTCATTACCTCCAGGCAGCCTTGTGGCTGATGTAGGTAAATAAAATATAAATTAATCATAAATTCATGCTTTTAATCTTTAGGTTGTGGTAATGGCAAGTACTTAGGCATTAACAAGGATGTCTGTGTGTTAGGCAGTGACATGTGTCCGGAACTTGTTGCTATTGCAAGAGGGCGGGGTCACGAAGCTCTTGTTTGCGACTGCCTTGAGTTACCATATTGTTCATGTACATTTGATGCTGCTATAAGCATCGCTGTCATTCATCATCTGTCGACAGAGGAGAGGAGAAAGAAGGCACTTGGGGAGATGGCTAGGCTCTTACGACCTGGTGGCACTCCTACTTCATCTTGTTTTGTACAAATTTTTTATGTAGTACAGGGTCACTGGCCAAATTTTGCCAAAAGGGAAAAGAAGAGAATTCTCCATTTTTATAATTCTTTTTCGTACATATACATGTTCTTATGTTATATAGGAAGTTTAAGTGGATTCAAATCAAATTTAGATTTTTTACAAATTTTTAAAGTTGCTACAAAATCAGGCAAAAGTCCCTGTACTATAGTACAGGGTCACTGGCCAAATTTCACCAAAATTAAAAAAAAGAAAATTCTCTACTTTTATAATTTTTTTCAGATACATATACATGTTCTTATGTTGTGTAGAAAGTTTGAGCTGATTCCAATCAAATTTAGATTTTTTACGAATTTTTAAATTTGCATTTACTAGTTCTCTGAGCAAGATGTGATGGTTCCATGGCATCTTCAGCCCCATTACTCACCTGGTCATGATCCTACACATTCTGCAAAAAAGAAAAAAGAGAAAAGGAGAAGGGGAAAGTCTAAACAATCCAAGACTAAAACAGAGAGAGGTACACGATTATAACTTTTAGCAAAAGATTACGTCACACTTTAGGAAAAGATATGGAAGATATTGATGATGAAAAAACTGATTCTTCATCACACAACAAAGTAGTTGCCTCCAGTGACTTGTTAAGGACTCCTAGCCCCATCTCTTTATTAATGCCTACTACTTCTAATACTGTTGAACCAGTTCCTTCGTCAAAAGATAATGATTTTTCTGTATCTTCTCCACATGCTTCCAGTGATGATAAACATGCTTTTGATCTACAGCAACACGGCTTTAGGACATTCTATCGTTACTATCATGTGTTTGTGGACAAGGAGCTGATAGAGTTGTGTAAGAGAGTTCCCTCATTAAAGATACTGGACTACTGGTATGATCATGATAACTGGTGTCTACTAGCACAAAAACTAGACTAAAATAGATTTATAATTAAAATCACAAAAATATAATGCTAATAAAAAATTAGTGAAGCAGCTTATCTACAATAAATTTTGACAGCTTTGGTTTGTAAAAAGTAATTTTTATTAAATGAACGAATTTAATTGTTATTCATTGCTACTCAAATGTTCAACAATATGTTCAGCTACAGAAGTAGCTTTGATGGTATCAGATTGTAATACTTCAATAACAGTCTTCCATTTGAATGTATTGGGATCAACTTGACTCCATTTATAAAACACTTGATTAAACCTTTCTTGACATGTTGGATAGTCTTTGTCCAGTCCTTTCAGGTAGCCTTCATTTAGACCAACAGCAATCCCAAACAAGTGATACTTGTCTTCAATCTTTGCACCCACCAAATTATTAAGAACAGGAAGACTAGGCTCAGCTTCAAGAACACTGTCTGTACAAATTATAAGTTGATGTTATTAACATATAATAGCAGCATACTCACCTGGAAGTGTGGGTATTGGATGCTGTTCTTTAAACTGACCCTCCAACTGTATAGCTACAGATTTAAGCTCAATGCTCTCCAGTGCAGCAGCTACTGGCTCCCATGATGCAGTCTTGTTTTCAGTCCTCAGTCCACAAAAGAAGGGACTCTCTAGCAAACTGAGTTGGATTGTTGTACTGTATCTCAATCTTGTGCAGTTGGGATATGTTTAGACCAAGTTTGAGACCAAATATGAACCATTTGCTGCCACGATGATCATCACAAAAAATATCAGCAGTAACAGTCAGGATTTTCATCAAAACAACATCAGATTCTATTGAAGGACATGTATATATTACATTTCAGGGTTGAATTACTTACTGATATCATTTGCTGGTGCAATATTAGGAGTCAAAGGGGGAGTTAGTTGCGATGTGGATGCACTCTCATTTTCTTGTGGCTTTTTCAATGTGACATTGATTTGAAGGGGTTTGCTTGTTCCACTGAAGACAGCTTTCACTTTTGTAGTATCTAAGGCAACAAAGCTATTCAAGCATGAGAAGGTGTATCTGAAACGAGGAGGATAAGAAAGGACCTCTTCCATCATTTGCAGCATCTCAACATTCTCTTTATTCACATTACCAGCTTCACAACCCATCACTTTAAAATAGTCAACCTCTGACTCAGATATCTATAATAAACAACCATAAAGTATTATTGTGCTATGTCTATCTACCTCTTCTGTATGGAATCCATTGTGATCTCTTTCCCATCCTGGTACACTGTCTGGATCAAATGCTACAGATAAGCTGCCTTCATCATCAAACATGATACTCTTCAAGTTACTAATTGTAAAATCTTCATCTTTATACTGCTTTGTTACAAGCTGTTTAATTTAAATTTATTATAAATAAATACACTTTAAAAGAGACATTGATCAATACCTGCTTGCATCCCATCTGACAAGGAAAGCAACAAAAATCAACAAAGGTTGTTTCATCTTCTTGTTTCTCAGCCATTGCTATCATGTAATGCTTCTGTGTACCTTTATATGCATTCTTTTCCATGGCAACACAGTGTGAACAAAAGTGATCACAATACGTCTTAAACATTTCAGAATCGACTTCCATTTTGACGTTGCTACAAGTAAAAAGAAAGTTTTCTTTTTCCAAGAAGTTCTGATCACTGGCTGTCAAGTGGACAAAGAGGTTCTTCATGGTTGTCTCAATATTGATGTTGTGGGGAAGGTAAAGCTCTGCTGGTTTTGTTAGTTTTTGATCAATGTAGACCCATACAATAGGAGTGATGGGTACATAGTCACCAAATTTGAATTTAGTGCTAAATGGACACACTCCAAACCATGCAGTAGCAGGTTGTTGAACTGCTCCCTCTGGAATTATGAGTGTCACACCAGTCTTGCAGCAGTGATGGACCAAGCCTTTACTATCGAATTGTAATTTGATCAGTTCACCAAAAATGCCTACAATAAATCATCATTACATGCATCTACAAACTATTTTTACCTTTTATTTGTTTAATTCCAGCTGCAATCTTTTTCCTTATCTTTGATCCTTTTTCATCTGCTTCTATCCTTCTCTCAAGAATACTTAACAAATACTCATCAGTTGCATATTGTGACATCTCTAATTCATCCAATGGTTGTATCCTAGGATTTTTTCTGCTATAATAATATCCTCCTATTACAAAAGAGGTGCATGCAATTGTGGCTCCTAGTATAGCTAACACTAAAACAAGTACAAAAATAATGATTAATAATAGTATTCCAGATGAATCAGTGACAGCAGAGGTAGATGGTGCAATTGTTGACTCTGCTGGTATTGTTGGAAATACTAAACAGTTTGTCATTGATGGAGTATTTGTACTGCTATTGTACAATTGTACTGGTTGATCTCCATATTGCAACTTCGTGCTGCTGTTTGAAAAGGCAAATATGCAAGCTTCAGCAGTGAAAGACTTCAGTTGGCATTGTGGCCTGTTTATTGTCAAGTTGCTGCATTCTTTAGGATAACTTATGTTTTCATAATAAAATTGTTTTATTATAATGCTTCCATTTACAGTGAGAATCCTATCTTTGTTTGTAATGACAATTTTAACAAAAGGATCATGAAGTCTAAAGGCTGTAATGTTTATTGAATTTGAATGATGACCAATATTAGATGTAGCTGGGAGGTGATCAATGGCCATTCCTATTGTAATTTGTAATTTAGAAAAACTACCATTCCTTGATTGATAGCTGTATGTCATGTTGTATGTGACCATATAGAGAAACACAAGTCTTTCAGGATCAACATTTCCAGTTAAATTGTAAGTATAGACAGTGCTTGTATTAAAATGTATTTCGCTGAGACTTTTAATCATAGGTGGATTATAATGAGGACTTTGATATAAATCAACTTTGCTATCACAGGAAGGATCAACAAGTGCCATATAAAGACTGGTGTTCCTGTTGACATGGATGCAGGCTGAAACTGAATCATCTTCACCACCAATACCAATTGTAGTAAGGTTGACTGAAGCAACTGGGTATAATAATAGCAACAGGAAAGACACTCTTAGAAGTAACTCTATAAATAGATTATATTTACTATTGACTTGGCTAAGTTGGCTTACCCATGATCCTGAAGTACTGGCTATACGATGTTTGTATTGCTAGACCGACTCAACAAAAGATTGCAAAACCACAAAGGGAAGTGTATGCTAATATTGTCGGGCCTGGCGAGGTAATTAGATTATTGCTATTATAACAATAATCTAATTACCTCACCAGGCCCAACAATATTAGATCTAGTGAGTGTGATCACATAGTCTGCATGTGCATAGTCTGTGATTGCATAGTCTGCAAGCGCTTGAACGTGACAAGAGCACGTTTGTCATTTAATATTTGATATTAATAAGTAAAGGAAATATCCTTTAGAGCAATTTTAATAATTTCTAATTTCTAAAAATTTTTAAGCAATAATTTTAGAGCCGTCCACCCAAATGACAATAGGCTGGGGAATGGTCTGGCCTGCAAGACTATATACATGTCCTTGTATTGTGTTTAAAGTTTGAACTCATTCTGATCACATTTTTAATTTTTTACAAATTTTTAAAGTTGCATTTACTTTTATTTTAAGCCACACAGATTTAATTTGGCTACTTAAATTTTGTTGAAACAGCTCCTTCATAAAAGATAATGATGATTTTGTAATGTTCCAGTGATGATAGACATGCTTTTGATCTACAGCAACACAGCTTTAGGACTTTCTATAGTTTTTATCATGTGTTTGGGGATAAGGAGCTGATAGAGTTGTGTAAGAGAGTTCCCTCATTAAAAATACTGGACTACTGGTATGATCATGATAACTGGTGTCTACTAGCACAAAAACTAAACTAAAATACATTGATAATTAAAATCACAAAAATAAAAATAACGCCAATGGGAAAATGCAGCAGCCTATCTACAAAAATTTTTTGACAGCTCTGGAGTTTGTAAAAACTAATGGCTATTAAATGTTATTAAATGCTACTCAAATGTTCAATAACAAGTTCAGCTACAGAAGTAGCTTTGATGGTATCAGATTGTAATATTTCAATGACAGTCTTCCATTTGAATGTATTGGGATCAACTTGACTCCATTCATAAAACACTTGATTGAACCTCTCTTGGCATGTTGGATAGTCTTTGTCCAGTCCTCTCAGACGGCCTTCATTTAAACCAACAGCGATCCCAAACAAGTGATACTTATCTTCAATCTTTGCACCCACCAAATTATTAAGAGCAGGAAGACTAGGCTCAGCTTCAAGAACACTGTCTGTACAAAATATAAGTTGATGTTATTAGCATATAATAGCATACTTACTTGGAAGTGTAGGCATTGGACGCTGTTCTTTAAACTGACCCTCCAACTGTATAGCTACAGATTTAAGGTCAATGCTCTCCAATGCAGCAGCTACTGGCTCCCATGTTGCAGTCTTGTTTTCAGTTCTCCACAAAAGAAGGGACTCTCTAGCAAACTGAGTTGGAGTGTTGTACTGTATCTCAATCTTGTGCAGTTGGGGTATGTTTAGACCAAGTTTGAGACCAAATACGAACCATTTACTGCCACGATGATCATCGCAAAAGATATCAGCAGTAACAATCAGGATTTTCATCAAGACAGCATCAGATTCTATTAAAGGAATGTATGAATAAAGTCAGTTATATTTCAGGGTTGAATTACTTACTGATATCATTTGCTGGTGCAATATTAGGAGTCAAAGGGGGAGTTAGCTGTGTTGTGGATGCACTCTCATTTTCTTGTGGCTTTTTCAATGTGACATTGATTTGGAGGGGCTTGCTCATTCCACTGAAAATAGCTTTCACTTTTGTAGTATCTAAGGCAATGAAGCTATTCAAGCATGAGAAGGTGTATCTGAGACGAGGAGGATAAAGAAGGGTCTCTTCCATCAATTGAAGCTTCTCAATATTCTCTTTATTCACATTACCAGCTTCACAACCCATCACTTTAAAATAATCAACCTCTGACTCAGATATCTATAACAAACAATCATATATATATATATATATAGCATTATTTTGCTATGCATGTATCTACCTCTCCTGTACAAAACCCATTGTAATCTCTTTCCCATCCTAGTACACTGTCTGGATCAAATGCTACAGATAAGCTGCCTTCATCATCAAACATGATACTCTTCAAGCTGCTGATTGTAAACTCTTCATCTTTATACTGCTTTGTTACGAGCTGTTAATTTTAAAATTATCATAAATAATTACACTTTAAAAGAGACATTGATCAATACCTGCTTGCATCCCATCTGACAAGGAAAGCAGCAAAAGTCAACAAAGGTTGTTTCATCTTCTTGTTTCTCAGCCATTGCTATCATGTAATGCTTCTGAGTACCTTGATATACATTCTTCTTCATGGCAACACAGTGTGAACAAAAGTGGTCACAATACGTCTTAAACATTTCAGAATCGACTTCCATTTTGACGTTGCTACAAGTAAAAAGAAACTTTCCTTTTTCCAAGAAGTTCTGATCACTGGCTGTCAAGTGGACGAAGAGGTTTTTCATGGTTGTCCCAATATTGATGTTGTGGGGAAGGTAAAGCTCTGCTGGTTTTGTTAGTTTTTGATCAATGTAGACCCATACAATAGGAGTAATGGGTACAAAGTCACCAAACTTGAACTTAGTGCTAAATGGACACACTCCAAACCATGCAGTAGCAGGTTGTTGAACTGCTCCCTCTGGAATTATGAGTGTCACACCAGTCTTGCTGCAGTGATGGACCAAGCCTTTGCTATCAAATTTTAATTTGGTCAGTTCACCAAAGATATCTGCAACAAATCATCGATACATGCATCCACAGTTATTTTTACTAACCTTTTATTTGTTTAATTCCAGTTGCAAAGTTTATCTTTTTCATTTTCTTCGGTCTTTTTTCTGCTTCTTTCCTTCTCTCAAGAATGCTTAAGGAATACTCCTCATCAAATTTATAAAGTGATACATCCAAGCCATTTCTTTTCTTATTTCTTTTGACGTAGCATCCCAAGTCATTTCTTTTCTTTTTTCTTTTGATGTAGTATCCTCCAAAGCAGATTATTATTCCTGGTATTGACACTAGAAGAAGTATGGTAAAACCAACAGATGCTGATGCTATTCCAGTTATTGCTGCATTATTAGGACCATCTGGTGTTGGAGATATTGTTGGTGTAAATGTTGTTGGAGTTACTGAACAGTTTGCTATTGGTGGAGTGTATGTACTGCTATTGTATTGTTGTACTGGCTGATCTCCATATTGCAACTTTGCACTGTTGTTTGAAAATGCAAATATGCAAGTTTCATTAGTGGAAGACTTCAGTTGGCATTGTGGTCTGTCTATCGTTAAGTTGCTGCATTCTTCAGGATAACTTATGTTTTCATAATAAAATTGTGTTATTGTAATGGTTCCACTTGCAATGAGATTCCTATCAGTGTATCTGATGAAAATTGCCACAATCAGATCCTCAAATCTAAATGCTGTAATGTTCTTTGAATCTGGGGGAATGGGTTTTCCTTCATTAGTTGCATAGCAATGCTTATCTATCCCTATTGTAATACACAATGGCGAATTACTAGAAACCTCTGTGGTATACATGTACGTGATGTTGTATGAAACCATATAAAGAAATATAAGCTTCTCAGGATCAACATTTCCAGTTAATTGATGAGTAAAACCTGTCTTTGTATTACTGAAAGTCAAATCATAACTTTTGGTTCGAGGCGGATTATAGCGAGGACTCTGATATAGATCAACTCTGCTATCACAAGAAGGATTGATGAGTGCCATATAAAGACTGGTGTTCCTGTTGACAGGGATGCAGGCTGAAACTGAATCATCTTCACCACCAATACCAATTGTAGTAAGGTTGACTGAAGCAACTGGATACAATAATAGCAACAGGAAAGACACTCTTAGAAGTAATTCTATAAAATAGACATAATAGAGTATATTTACTATTAACTTGGCTTACCCATAATCTTTAAACTGTTATGCTACTGTAAGTAGCTATACAGTTGTGCTTGTATTTATAGTACACATCGTTTATAATATCTCCCCGAAGTCATGAGCTCTATATGAATTATTTTTAATTAGACATGAATATTCTTGTATTACGTATCGGGTGTTTTCTCAGTGTCAATTCTTCATGAATAATATATCAAAAACAAAGGAAGTGGTTCACAACAGATTAATCATTGATTGAATAGTGAATTTAAATAAAAATTGTACAGAGCATAAAATGAATGATGCGATTATTAATACGACAAATAGACAGACAACACCAGTTATTTTTAGATCAATAAATGAGTTCAGAAATGCATGTACAGAGATTGTTAATAATTACGACTTGCAGTTGATCATATAGCTGTAGGACTAATGGTATCTTGCTCTATAAGATTCACTTGATCTCCATCAGCCACACCTTCATTATCTTCAGAAGCCACACCTCCTCCTTGTTGTTCTTTTAAAGACGAATAAGGGTCCTCTTCGGTGTACTCTGGAAGCTCGTTATCTCTATAAGGGGGCGGAGTGTCGTCGTCTCTTCCGATAAGTCTCGAGGCAAGATACAGCTGCATTAGTCGCCGTCTTTTCTTTCTGTTGTGCCTCCACCAACAACAGTAGAGTACGATGACAGTCGCAATTATTAGTATTATAAGAGGAACAGCGATACCTAGTCCTATGTATAGTCTTTATTGGAGAAAGGAAGGAAGAGAGAGGAAGAGGAAAAAATTTGGAGGAAGAGTAAACATCTTAAGTGGCAGGATGTCAATCATGCATGCAAATGTCATAATAAACGGACTACCAATGACGTAGTTATCATTATTGTGATTGTAAATAAATGATTATAATTGGGTTAACTTGTAAAAGCACAAATAGTTGTACAGTCAACACTTCTTTGATACATGTCGCATCTAAACAGCATCTTCTGGAGACTATTGATAATAATACTACGTGTTTTTTAAAGTGCAAATGATTACATAAACTTCTCAATAGAGTGTGTATAGTATCAGAAGAACATGATAATCAGTGCACTCTTGATGGTACATGTAATCATAACATAACACCTCATCAACCTAGGTGTGACCATCTAATGATGCCAAGTATACACACCTTTTAAGTTGTTGGCTAAAGAGTTACGGCTGTTGTACCTATTCAGTGGTTATATGGGCTATATCGAAACCGGACTTAATGGCTCTCTGTAGTATACGTAGGCAAAACAATAATGATTGGTGTAATAGATTAACATTAAGCAATTACTAAGCAAAATAGGCTACAGTGTGTAATTTAATAGGTAGATATAATGCAATTAAATACTACTGAGCTATTATTATAATAATAATTATACCACAAGGGAAGTATACAATGTACATGTTAGTCCTCTTACTGAAGATATGGATTACAGCAGTAGTTATTATTATTGTTCATACTGCTGCTGTCAGAGCAGCAGTACGTCTTGTACGAAGCATCATTACTTGAAGGACAAGTTACAGAGCAGTCTGACGAACCAACAATGACTTGAGAATAAACTATAAAAAGAAGAGGGTTTTGGATATTATTTAAAATAAAGTATTAAAAGGTATTCTATCCCATCTTACCAGTAGTAAGGACAGAGAGAAATATCAGTAAAAAGACATTCATTGCTGGACAATATTTCTTCCTCTCGACCACAGCCACTCAAAATAAAACCAAACCCAGCCCAGTAAGACTTAGATAATATACGGCATCATTGATATACGGTATCATGGATGATTGTACTTTGTTAATACATTCTTCACTATTTCAGTTTCAGCATTAACAAAAATAAATTTTTGCACTTCTTACAACTTGCTAATTTTGAAAAGTAATTTTCACCTAATTTTCACCTGTTATTTACTTTTTAAAAGTGTGATTTAGATATGTATAAATGATTTTCACATGTTTACTTCCTAATTAAGTGAGCACTGATTGTTTTCATGCAAAATTATTTCTTCTCTCTAATTTATAAATTTAATTTCTAAAAGGGAAGAAAGAGCACGAAGATGTAAGTGTTGTTTTGCTCTGCCTGATATATCCTTGTCTGTTTGTTTGTTATTATTACAGTCAGTCACATGATTTGTTCTTATCTCTATTCCACAGGAGTAAAGTGACCTTTAAGATTACTCTCACATCAGATCCAAAACTACCTTTTAAAGTGTGAGCATAGTAAATGCATCCATAAGTAATGTATGGTCCATCTTCATTGTTTGTGGGCCTCTATGCTTTATTATGTTTGACTCCTTCCTTTGTTATTAGTTTAAGTGTACCCGAGAACACTCCGTTTACTGCTGTATTAAAATTTGCTGCAGAAGAAGTAAGAATGTGTCACGTTTGGACAATCGTATTATTTCCTCTTTTAAAAATTAGTTTAAAGTTCCTCCTGCCACTAGCGCAATCATTACAAACGGTGAGGTATAATCAATTAATCAATGATGATAATTTTTTATCTTTTTTTTAGATGGAATAGGAATCAATCCATCTCAAACAGCAGGTGCGTAGAAAATGTGGTAGAGAAAATTTTGAAAAGGAGAGACAGAAAATAAAGTTTTCTTTATCTTCTTATTAATAGGTAGTGTATTTTTAAAGTATGGTGGGGAACTCCGCCTGATTCCACGAGACAGAGTCGGTCATCAAAAACAATGATCTTATTTATTAATAATAATTATTGTTGTTATTTATTATTATTATCAGCTGTTTTATACCAATCAATAATTTAATGCAAAAACAATATTCGTAATATTAAATAATGAAGATATTTTAAGTCAATTTGTGTTCTCTTTTTGTTCTTTGTCCTCATCTTCCCAAAAAATACCCTTCAACTTTTGCAAGAATCCTTTCTCTTTTTTGACAAGTTTGTTCTTTCTTTCATTCTCCCCTCTACCTAACATAAAGGCGGAGTCAACCACGCCCTTTTTCATTTTTAACCCTGACCTTTTACGATCCCGTTCACAGATCCTTCGTAATCTTCAGTTTGTGCTAGTTCTTCTATTAATGTCTTCTGTTCGCTAGTCAAATTCCTTATAAGGAAGTCAATGGGTGTGGCAATGTGGGTGTGGTTACTCACTTGGGTACTTTGATCCTAATGTGAATGTAATGGTCTCCGTTTCCATATCCATTGAGTCTTGGTATCCCACGACCACTTAATCTGAGTCTGTGATGAGACTGAATACCTGCTGGAATCTAAAAAAGAATATGTGAAGCCCCACCCACAGCCACACCCATACCTTTAAATCCAGCGTCCCATTAAGACCGGGTGTTTTAGCGACTCCTCCCAGGACTGCTTGAGTGTAGCTGACGTTAGCGTCAGAGTGAATGTCAAACCCGTCACGTCTAAAAGTGTCACTTGATGAAACTCTGAGCGTTACATAAGCTTCTGTGTGACCCACTGGAACTCTTAGAGTTTGACCGTCCGAAACACCTGCAAAAGAGAAGAGATTATAATAATTTATGAGCAGCCATTTTGTATCTTCTCTCCCTCCTTCCCTCTCTCTTTACCAGCTGGTACTTGTACGTTAACTGATCGTGTCTTGACAGTGGTTCCTTTCCCCATGCAAGAGCGACACCGCACAGTTATCACACGTCCTTGTCCGTGACAGTTCCTACATACGGACTTCATCTTGAAGAACCCAGTACTGATCACCTCCTGTAATGTAAGGAATTAATCGTAATGTGTAATATGGGGGCAGGGTTTCCACAGGATTTAGGAACAGTGGATTTTTAAGTTGCTCAAAAATTGGGCTAAAGTCCCTGTACTATAGTACAGGAATTTTGGCCAAATTTCGTCAAAAATTAAAAGGAGAGAATTCTCTGTTTTTATATTTTTTTCTGATACATATGTGTACTTATGTTGTGTAGAAAGTTTGAACTGATTCCAATCAAGTTTGGACTTTTTATAAATTTTAAAAGTTACTCAAAAATCAGGCAAAAGTCCCTGTACTATAGTACAGGGTCACGGGCCAAATTTCCTCAAAAATGACTAGAAGAGAAATCTCCATTTTTATAATATTTTCTGATACACATACATGTTCTTATGTTGTTAATCAAATTTGAGCTGATTCCGTTAAAAATTGAATTTGTAATGAAATTTTAAAGTTGCTCCAGAATCCAAATGCCCTGTACTGTATTGTAGTGCTTGTCAACTCATGAAGCTCATGCTGTTTAGCTCACTTAGCATGCTTTGTGGGAAACACTGTCCCATAACAGCAATAATAAAAGGATCTTACCTCTCCTGACCCACGGCAGTAGGGACAGACTTCTGTCTTTGTTCCTGGTTCCCCTCCACTGCCAGAGCACCTCTCACACATGGCCTGTACCCTCATTGACAGCTCCTTACTGCATCCTTTGACTGACTCCATAAATGAAAGACTGAGCTGAAGCTAAGAGAGAGTAGAAGAGAGAGAAAGGAAAAAAAAGAGCAATAAAAATGAACTAGATAATGAAAATATTATCTATGACTAGATTCAAACATTTTTTCACAGTTTAAGTTTGTCCCAACTTAATTTTTATAAACTAAAGTTACCGTTTGAGAGTTCCTTGCGTCTTGTCCAAATATATCTTGTCCAAACATGTCAAAGTCACCAAAAAACTGACGGAATATTTCCTCGGCTCTCATCGATGTGAAGGGGTTTCCCTGATGACCTGGGCCAGCTTCATCGCTGAACTCTGAGAAACCGGAATAATCGTAACGCTTTCGCTTCTCAGAGTTACTAAGAACCTGTAATAATAATAAACAAACAAACAAACAAACAAATAAATAAATAAATAATAGCTGTCAGTATAACCTCATATGCTTCTCCTATTTTTGTGAATTTCTTTGCCGCTTCTGGATTATCAGGGTTACGGTCGGGATGATACTTCTTTGCTAACTAAAAACATAATTTAAATTATACTTGCTAGTTTTTCTTAAGATGAGCGTTTCTCTTACATCGTAATAAGCTTTTTTTATTTCCTTGGCATCGGCAGTCCGTGGTATCCCAAGTATCTGATAATAGTCCTCTTTTCGTAGAGAAGCTGAAAGAATAAAAAAGATGGGTAAAAAAGGTAAAATAAAAAAAGAAAGCAAATTTAAATCAAATTTGTAAAAAGAGAATTAAGTCTGCTCTAGTAAATTGTAGTTTACCGTTAGAATGAATTCCTCTATTGGAGTGGGTCTTTGTATGATTAAAGTAGTGATTGCTGTATCTAGTAATACAGTAAGAAACTTCTGCTGATCTCAAGACAGAAGATAAACGAGAGGAGCTCAGAGCAAGATGGCCACAAGAAGATGGAGAGAGTGAATGATGATGAAATAGTCTAACGAATCTCTTCATTGTTGGACTCGATGAGAGTAACTAGTGGCAGATGAATATCTAAGTAAATAAATGTCTTTTTCTTTCATTACCTGTTGGTTTCTGGTAAAAATAAGGACAATATCTCGTCCACGTTTTTGCATGCTCCTCGTGAAAAGAAAGAAATAATTTCAATTTGACTAATTTCGTTATTTGACTATACTGCTCTATTAAATAATTTATAGATAATTTACGGTATATATAAATAAAAGCAAAAAAATGACAAAGTTTTTGTATGTTATATTTCCTGAGGTCTGATGGGCATACACAAATTGTAGCTTGCCTAAAAAAGCAAAAATATATAGTACTAAATTGCAGCTTAAAAGCAGCCACAAAAGTCTTACATTTTGATCCCAAAAATTCATCCTTTTCCAGCCACAACCCTAAAAGATCATATTGACAATACAATTATACATTATCAAGCGACCATGTACTTTTCCATTTATCAAATTAATGTCCTCAGGGCCAGTGTAATGAGGATCAAGAATCAAAAACCTAAAAATAATTATAAAATTATTTTTAAAGTTATTTTTCCTACTTAATATCACCAGATTGCTCATCATAGTCAACTCCTAATATGGTATGAGCTAAAACCCCACCCCCTATCATTACGGGTGTGCCCTGGTTTCTAAAATGATGCTGTAAAAGACGACCGGTACCGGCGATATCAGCTCCTCTTGAGCAGTGATGAATACGAGACTCTATCTGAATAATGAAGCATTCGGTATTGACCACACCCATTGGCCCACCCACCTGTAATGAGTGACTGAGGACAGTACTGACTTCAATTGATCCGATCCATTCAGAAGAGCCAATGAATGGTTTCTATAATAATAATAAATAATTTTAATTTATGTGATAAAAATTTATGTGATATGTGCAATGCAATAAAAATGG